TACTTTGTTATCACAATTCATTAGACTATTTAAAATAATATCAAATTGTACAAGGGTCTGGTCAAGTTTTGGAGCTGCCTCAATAGTCTTCTTCATGGTTATCTCTGCCATCTGAAATATGGCCCTGCTTTTGCATCAAAGCAAGGCAACCAGTGAGATTGCAATAATTGCTGGCTTTCATGACAGTGCAGGAGGCTGGGTTCGAGTTTTAAAATTGAAAAAATCGCCAAGTTATCTATATCATTTGGAAGAGCACATCAAAGTAAGTTTAAGTAAGTTTTTCCACATACTTTTTTACGGTGTTAAATTTATCTTTTTACAYAACTGTTTCTTTAGAAACACCGACGCAGCTCACACTAGTTTACCGCTAGTTCCCACCATTTCAAAATTGATAATATCCCCAAATTTTGTTTAGTTCAGATGAATATCTAAGAATTTCAAAAATGTTAAAATTTACAAAAGAATGTATAGATTGTGGGAATCTATAGATGTACACTTGAATAGGAGAGTTTTTTTAATATGGCTATAATTTTTTAAATATTGACTTGATTTCCACCAAACTTTGTGTTTTTATTGATTTAGATTTGCCCTTTCAGATAATGTAGGTAGGTCACACAACGATATTGTGTGATTTTAAAACATGTATCTAGTTTCCTGCTCGGACATGAAAGCTGAAATTGAAACTTTTGTTCACACCCATATACTATTGTCTGTCGTTGATCATTGTACACAACCGATCATTTCACTTCAATGCATGGATTGATTGCACGATGGCAAATGGATTTCTGTGAAGAAGATTGGAAAATTGGAATCTGGATTCCAAGCCTTGAGATTGCGGATTCCAAAGAATTTTTGTTTTCGGGTTCCAGATAGTTTTTTTTTTTTTTGTGTGTGTGTGGATTTCAAAATTTTTGCTTGATTCTGGATTGTAAATATTTGGATTCCAGATTCCAGGATACGGATTCCAGATTCCACAGCTCTTTGTTACTGGATTTTGCTACATGCGGCAACAGGAAAGACACTGGCATGCCAACAGCACTCATGCTACTCTTAACCATTGTGCAAAGCAATTTATATAATGCTCCTGAGAAGACTCAACTTGGTGATGAAATCAAGGTTTACATTACCTGGAGGTCTCTCAACTCCTTGACTGTTCTGTAACTATCTTCTGCATTTCGTTTTGTTACTTCATCTCGCTCTTGCATAAACTCCCCATCGTCACAAGGTCCACCAACTGGCAGATTACATAGAAATATCTTAACCTCGTCAAAGGACACATCACTAGAAGGATTCAACCTTTGCTTTATAAAGTCATTCCAAGTTTTGAGAGAAAATGTCTCTTCGTGGACAGCTTTGAACAAGAAGAGAGTTGATTCAATGGAAATTCTGTTATTTCCCTCGAAGTCTAAAGCTCTGAAGTCCCAGTATATTTTCTCTTCTAAGGATTTGCGTCTGTCTATTTCTTTTAATACATCAAAGAAGTGCTCTCTGGGACAACGGTTATCGTGGTTATGGCCGCAAACAGTCATTAGAGCTCCTTCGAGTTGTCTTCTGTCCAAAGTCGAAAAGTAAATCTCTTGGTAGAAATCCAAGATCTGTGGAGTAGTGAGATAACCAGTAACTCCAGTGTCTAATACATCGAACATTAAATCCAACTCAGGGATGCCCATTTTGAGTCTAATAAATCAATAACGATAAAAAAACTACTTATTGAAGTGATTTCTACATTAGTTACACAAGCATGTGTACCAATCCACACGAAAGTTCCGCAAAATTAAACAAAAAACGTTTCGAATTCACTACATCTTAGAATTAAGGTTGGMAATTATCAACTGAGTTGATATTGTAGCTTTTTGTTACCCTGAGGGTCAATTTTTTCCGGCAAATCACGAATTTKAGTCAAAATGGCTGCCCCTCGGGTTTTCTGTTTATGTTCTGACGTCACATCCCCAGGCGACGAGCAGATTGATTTGCATAAAACACAGGGACCCCGTCAAATTAGAAAACTCCATGCAAATGTTTCTTAGCTGAAATTTCGGTTACTTTTTTTGCTGCTTGAAATTAAGGGGAATGCATCAAGACCATATGAATAATTTTGAATATAAATTTGAATACTGATATTAAAAACACAATTCAATTTCATGAAAACTGACAAATATAAAAAGAAAGAAGTAAAGAAAAACTATTAAAAGTATTGGAAAATAAAAATATTATGTGTGT